GCAGGCCTATTGCCGCAGGGCAAAACAGCTCTGGCACAAAAAAGTGCAGACACCCGTGACACAGAACGTGACAAACAGGGGGACACGAAACACGACACATCATGCTTGTGGTGAGGGCCTCGAGGGGAGAAGGCAAAAGGGACCCCAAAGACACACCAGGGAACACAGCACACCGGACAACACGACACAGACCAGAGCTGTTCTGCACTGCCCGCCTGAAAGCTGCCATCAAAAGTAGAGCCTCTCCCTTTAGCCGTCCTAAGAGGCCCTTGGAGAAGATTGCTTTTCCCTCTGCTAATTTTTTAATCTGCCCCAAAAACTCCCAACCTGCTCCTACCCCATCATCCCATCTCCAGGCCGTGGCCCCCGACTTATCTTTTGCATGATCAGTGATGGGAATCCACGTTGCACCTGAAATGAGTCTGCCTCGGAGGGCCTCGTGATGGCCTGTCAGCCTCTCAGTCAGCTACAATGAAGAAAACCAAAACCAAAGTGTGAGTCCGGAGTTATGTGGGACAAATCCCACCAAGGCGGCTACTTGCCCTCTCCTGAGTGGGCCTGGCTCCTTCAGCCTCCAGCTTCATCCTGATTCCAAGGCTGTGGCCTTCATTAGGAGTGGCACCTGGGTTAGAGAAAGGCACAGTTAAATGGCATTCCTGTGAGTGCAGCGGATGACCTTGTGTGCTGTAAGACATGTGAAAACCTCTGCTAGGCTTCTGAGAAGCCTTGTGTAGGGGGGCCCTCAAATAAACAAATAAACACCCTCTCTCACCCTGCTGCCTGCAAACCTCCCCCTGCCCACAATAACTCCTAACTGGATACCTGCTCACCCTCCCTCTCCTAGTCACAATCCTCAACTCACCTGAAACCTCAATCTCAAACATCATCCTTCATACTGGGCACATGCCTCTTGTGACATGATGAATCTGCTGAACAATTTTTTTCTTGAGAGCTGAGTAATAAGAACTACTTCTCTCCACTGCTCACCTTGACTGCTGGTATCCAGATTTATTTCCTAAAAAGAAAGACAAAGAACAGAGCTGTAACAGAGTCACCATATACACTTCTGCTGCAGACACAAATGGGGCCTCACCTGCTCGGGGCAATCCCCTCACCAAGGATGGGGCCCTCAGGCACAGATTTAATCCATCTGAATCTGGAAAAAGTTAGGACAAGAGTCACACTGTTGCAGGATAAGCTAAGAGCTCCAGACATCCTGTGTCCATCTACAAATCCCATCTAGAGTCCAACTACATCTCACATGCCAAATTCCAAATCCCCGGGGCTTCTCCTATTGCACCAGGCTATGGCAGCAGGGCAGAGCAGCTCCAGCACAAATGTGTGCAGACACCTGTGACACAGGACAGGACAGGACAGACAACGGGGACACAACAGGAACAGAAATCTCAGGGCAAGGAAAATGGCTGCAAGGACTGAGAGAATGCAAAAGGAGATGAGCAAGCTGAGACCGATGGTGAGCTGATGAGGCTCAGAGAATCCTGGAGAAAGAAGATGCTAACTGAATGATTGATTCCAAGAACAGCAAAGATGGATGCCTAGGAATCCTACAGTCAGAATCCTCTCCCTGCCCTCACATTCTTTCAAGTCCTAATCCACCATAATGGATCCAGGTGGGTCAGAGCTGTTCATACAGCTCAGAACAAGACCTGACAAGATATATGACTGGATGCTTCCAAAGAGAGAACTTTTGACTGGGGAGCTCAGACAGGTATCAGGAACACATCTATGGCCTGGGTGCCAGGCCAAGGAATGCAGAGATCACAGATGCTAAGAATGATGCCAGGGTTTCTGACAGGTCCCTCAAAGGGCTAAGGTAAAAGACATGAGATACACCAACAACACATAATGCACAACAGACAAGTGACACAATACACACCGGGACTGCTCTGCCCTGCTGCACACCTCAGCAAAGTGATCAAAAGCGAGACTTGGCTTTTATGGGGCCTAAGGTGCCACGTCTTGGCTACCCTCGTCTCCAGAGCCAACTCAAACCCCCCACCCACCCCAGGGAGTCCTGACCCAGCACCCTGCTTCCATCCCCTCTGTGGGCCGTAGCCCTCCACTTATCTCTCAGACATCAGGGGATGCTGGTCTCAGGTGCAAAGAAAGGCCACATCGGCACCTAGGAAAGCCCTGCTTGCACCGGGCTGGTGTCTCCCAGACAGCTGTATTAAAGAAAACCAAACATCAGTGTCTGGTCTTGGCACCACATCAGCCAAAACCTCACCACTCTGCTACTCACCGCGCTCCTAGGAAGGCCCAGCACCTCCTAACCCTGACCCTCTGCCACACATGGAATGCATCTGCACCTGAAAGAAAGTTACAAAGTACATCAAACACCACCAGGATAACTCACAAGCTGCAAACACCTTATGTCAATCTAGGAATAGCATCTAGAGCCCATGTACACCCCACATTACAAATTTCAACTCCCCAGGCCTGTCCCATTGCAGCAGGGCAAAACAGCTCTGGCACAAATATGTGCAGACACCCGTGACACAGAACGTGACAAACAGGGGGACACGAAACACGACACATCATGCTTGTGGTGAGGGCCTCGAGGGGAGAAGGCAAAAGGGACCCCAAAGACACACCAGGGAACACAGCACACCGGACAACAAGACACAGACCAGAGCTGTTCTGCACTGCCCGCCTGAAAGCTGCCATCAAAAGTAGAGCCTCTCCCTTTAGCCGTCCTAAGAGGCCCTTGGAGAAGATTGCTTTTCCCTCTGCTAATCTTTAAATCTGCCCCAAGAACTCCCAACCCACTACTCTCCCATCATCCCATCTCCAGGCCGTGGCCCCTGACTTATCTTTTGCACGATCAGTGATGGGAATCCACGTTGCACCTGAAATGAGTCTGCCTCCGAGGGCCTCGTGATGGCCTGTCAGCCTCTCGGTCAGCTACAATGAAGAAAACCAAAACCAAAGTATGAGTCCGGAGTTATGTGGGACAAATCCCACCAAGGCGGCTACTTGCCCTCTCCTGAGTGTGCCGGGCTCCTTCAGCCTCCAGCTTCATCCTGATTCCAAGGCTGTGGCCTTTATTAGGAGTGGCACCTGGGTTAGGGAAAGGCAAAGTTATATGGCATTCCTGTGAGTGCAGTGGATGACCTTGTGTGCTGTAAGACATGTGAAAACCTCTGCTAGGCTTCTGAGAAGCCTTGTGTAGGGGGGCCCTCAAATAAACAAATAAACACCCTCTCTCACCCTGCTGTCTGCAAACCTCCCCCTGCCCACAATAACTCCTAACTGGATACCTGCTCACCCTCCCTCTCCTAGTCACAATCCTCAACTCACCTGAAGCCTCTATCTCAAACATCATCCTTCACACTGGGCACATGCCTCTTGTGACATGATGAATCTGCTGAAAAGAGTGTTGTAATTGACACAACCGGGAACCTCTGGAAGCTGCACTCCTCCTAAAATGAATGGACTAAAACAAGAACAAAACTAGAATTTACAAAGGTGCTTTACCACCCCTGAACACAAAAGGCAAATTCATCAACTTCAATACTCCCTGTATTCCATGCTGTTTTCTTCACGGTCTCTTCAAAGCCTCTGTTGCTTTAGATGCCCAGAAACACCTGCTGAAAACCAGCTGAAATAAGCTGAAAGAGCCTCTTCACTGAATTGAGAGGGGAGCTCTCACCCCAGCACATCCCAGAGAAGGAATGAAGCCCCTCAGCCCAGGCTGTGTTAATATACCCCTGATGGGTATGCATATATTTGCAACACATTCCTATTTTTATATTTCAGTTTTGCTTGTGTCTATATTTATATTCTCTATTTATATATCTATCAACATACACAATACTCTATTAAGAAACAGAATATCTTATTGTAACAGATAACGACTTATGTTACATGTTACATTTTGAAAAGAGATTGAATATATAAAAACAAAAGTGGTTTATTCCCACTTCCACACATCTGTTTTGTTTAAATATAGTTACAGTTATAACTGTATATTTAAAATGCGATTCCTAAATAAAATGACAAAACAAACAGCATTGAATTCCCACCAATACCTTCCAAAACCATCAAGATACCTCCAACAGCCAAAGAACTGCCAGCGAAAAAGCCACACAACACTCTTTTCGATAACAGTTCTCATCACGTCAGAAAAATGGAACCAAAATAAAAGGAAACCCTATAGAAACACATACAGCAAATTGCAAAAACTACTGAAAAAGATGAAACCAGCCTAATAAACTCCAAACAGTGCCACTGATCCTGAACGTTACTGAAAAAATAAACAAAATTCTACCTCTACACTAACTCAAAGAAGAACCAATCCTGTGTAAAAATAACTTTAAAAACCGAGCTAATTAACGAAATGGGAAAAAAAAAAATCTCAACCCCTAAAAACTAAGAAAATAACTACCCAAATAAATACTTAAAAAGATCCACCATGTAAATACCCATATTCCCAAAAATAAAACTGACAAACAACCAAATACATCAAAGGACAGAAAAAAAAAAAAAGCCCCAAAACCAAATAAACTTAAATTTACAACAAAAAAATTATTCCCAACTGAATAAACCCATAGTGCCTCAAGCTATCAAAATAAAAATACCGCCTCGAAACAAACACAAAGCCTAAAGACAAACGTAACCATAAAGAATGTCTCCCAAATTACCCGTAACCATAAAACATACACTACAATCAAACAAACCAAATAAATAAAAGCCCTGGAAGACGATAAACACACATGCAATTATCGAAATTAAAAACCCGCCGCTATGAACGACACGACGCTACCTCAAGCCCCACAAAACAAACACTACACACTCACGCTAATAAAAGCCGCCGCAACAGAATTAAAATCCGAGCCGCTGCTTCACGCTACGACCCGTAAAAACCATTGCGCGCCTTTAAAAACACAATACCCCGGCAAAAAAAAAAAAAAAAAAAAAAAAAAAAAAAAAAAAAAAAAAAAAAAAAATCCGACTACAAAACTGAATCCAAACCAAACCTTTATCATCCCTACCGGCACCGAGAACCGTACCACTCAGGAAGAACACCGTATCCCTTAGCGTACACCCGCTGCAAATCGAACACAACGATGCAATCAATGCCTCAAAGGGCCTCCGAACCACGGCACCGCCGAACTTTGAGCGGCCGAACGCCGCGCTCGCTGCGGGCCCCGGACGGAGCGCGGCTCCCGGCAGGAAAGCGGCTCCTCCGGCGGCGCCGGCGCCGTTCCGGGGAGCCCCGCCCGCTGCCTCTGCCCGCCGGGGCCGGCACCGGGCCCGGGGCTACCGGCGGCGCCCGAGCCCGCGCCCGGAGCGGACGGAGCGGCCGGCACCGCCCGGGCCGGCGCAGCAGCGCCCGCGCCGCCTCTGCCGCCCTCGGCCGGCCCGGCACGGCTCCCCTCGGCTCCGCACGGCTCGCACCGGCGCGGCTCCGCCACTGCCGCCCTCGGCCGGCCCGGCCGCGCCAAATCCCCCGTGCGCCCCGGCAGCTGCCCGGGCCGTGCCAGCGGCGCTCCCGAGCGGGAACGTTCCGGGCCGGGCCGCGGGCACGAGCAGCGCCCTCCGATGCAGCGGCACAGCCCCATTGCAGCCCTGCAAACGCTGCCAGAGCTGCGGCTTCCCGCAGCCCAACCCCGAAACTGACGCCGCCGGCGGGGCTCACCTCACTTCAACAAGGGCAAAGAAATGCCTTCTCCCCTTCAGTTTCGTCCCCTACGAGAGCAGAAAAGAAGGGGCGCTCCTCAAATGAAAGCCTTCGACTGATGGGAAAGGGCGATTTCGACCTCCATTGAAACCCTTGAAAAGGAGGGACACCAGGGCTGCCCCCTCCATTTAAACCCGAGGGTGATGAAAATGGGGTGGCTGCCTTCAAATCAAACCCATAATACCACAGGAATACTTTTCCCATTCCCCTTAAAATAGAACGCAGGGATTCCCTGTCACCCCCGGGACACCCCTAACAGCCTGGAAAAGGCAGCTTTTCCTGCAATCATCACCCTTAAAACCCCAAGTGAAGAGGGATCCTCTCAGCTCAAACGCAGACAATAAAAGAAGAGTAGCTGCTTCCTTCTCCTTAATCCCTTTTGTGCTCATAAGCTCCATTTTTGTTCCTGGGGATCCGGGGAGGGACTGGCGAGATGAAATTGCAAAGGGGAAGGAGAAAATTCCCCGCTCCAAACCCACACGGGCTCACCTGTTCAGCCGCTGCTCCCCGGCACCAAGATTCGTCCCTCGGCGCCTCCTTTAAGCGATGCTCCACGTATCCAAGCACGGATCCAGGCGTTCCCCCCGACCCTGTGAGAAGCTCCCGCAGTCCTTCCATGAGCGCCCCACAAACCCCTCCACTCAGCAGCTCCACGCTAAAGGGAGCTGAGGCAAAGCCTCCCCCTAAAACAGCCTCGCCCCGGCAGGAGCGGGCCCTCATCATCCTCACAGCTCACACCTGGGCTGCTCCGAGCCCCCACCATCCTCACACTCACACCTGGGCTGCTCCGAGCCCCCACCATCCTCACACTCACACCTGGGCTGCTCCGAGCCCCCACCATCCTCACACTCACACCTGGGCTGCTCCGAGCCCCCATCATCCTCACACTCACACCTGGGCTGCTCCGAGCCCCCATCATCCTCACAGCTCACACCTGGGCTGCTCCGAGCCCCCCTATTTTTCCTATTTATATTTGCATTTATATTTAGAATTTATATTACTGTATAATATTAATTATATTGTATATTACATCTCTTCATGTTACTTACATAGATTTCTATTCCTATTTCTTTTTAAATTTGTAGTTTAGTATTACATCCTTATATATTTGTTATATTTCTGTATGCCGATTTACATTTCTATAGTACTTATATTTTTTAAAATAAAATGCCTGCCTCTAACGAAAGAAAAACCAGACACCCCTTTATTTAAACCACATTTAAAATTTTAAAAATAATTTTGTTTGTCATAATTCTATTCACATTTACATTTGTAATTTTTCATGTATTATATTTATAGATGTTAGATTGGATAGAATACCTTTTTATATAATAATAGATATATTCTTTTGACACAATATATTTCTTTTACTTATATTTACATATATAAAATGTTTATGGATATCAACATATATAGGATAGAATTGGATTTCTATTTTTATACTTTTTATGAAATCTCCAGCCTATACCCCAATAAAACCCAAACAATCCCCAATTTACTTAAACTATATTTAAACATAAATCCTGTCACAGCTGCATTGCACAGCAGTGCCCCAAGCGAATCTGACACTTGTTCATCTCCTGGACCTGAAACTGAACCCGCTCACCTTGATCGCACCTGGCAGAACCGTTTTCGTACCTTTTTCTGGCATTTCTTGGGTTTTTTTCTTGCATTTTTTGTGGACTTTATTGCCTCTCTTTCTTGCCTTGTTTCTTGGGGCTTTTACTCCCCCTTTCCTTGATTTTTTTCTGGCATTTCTTGGGTTTTTTCTTTGTTTCTTCTTGCCCATCTTGGTTTTTTTTTTTTCTGTTTTTTTTCTTGCCCATCTTGGCGTTTTTTCCTTCCCCATTTTTTTTTCCTTTTCTTTTTTTCTTTTTTTTTTTTTTTCTTCTTCTTATTTTATTTCTACCCATCTAAGGGTTTTTGTCTGGTCTATTTTCAGGGATTTTTCTTTCCCATCTTGTGGGGGTTTTTTTGGTTGGTTTTTTTGTTTTTTTTGTTTTTTTTTTTTTTTTTCCTGGGCTTTTTCTTGTCCATCATGGTTTTTTTCTGGGTTTTTTTTTTTCCTTGCCCTTCTTGGGCTTTTTTTTTCTGTTTTTTTTTTTTTTTTCCTGGGATTTTTCTCGCCCATCCTGGGTTTTGTTTCTGAATTTTTCTTGCCCAACTCCAGGTTTTTTTCTGTTGTTTTTAAATTTTTTTTCCGCTGGGTTTCTCCTTGCCCTCTTTGGTTGTTTTTTTTTTTGCCTGCCTGCCTTCCTTCCATCCTGCCTTCCTGTCCTTTCTTTCTTCCTTTCAGTTCCTTCCCTTATTTTCTTTTTTTTCTTTTCTTTCTTTCTTTCCCTGTATGTCTAATCTTGGTTTTCCTTTCTAGCTTAACAATAAAAAAGCAGCAGTAGTAGCTTTCAGGCTACCTGGGAGTAAAAAACACTCCAAAACGAAAAGGATTTAAAGAAAACTATTTATTCCCTGGGAGCCTGAAATTTTCTACTGCTGCACGTGACATAGAGCTTTTATTCCTTCTTATAGAGAGTTGATATTTTCTACTTACTTTATACAGCGCCCCCTGCCGTCTGCCCCGGCGCACTGCAGGCACAGCGATCCCTGCCGTCTGCAAGGGCGCACTGCAGGCACAGCGCCTCCTGCCGTCTGCGCCGGCGCACTGCAGGCACAGCGATCCCTGCCGTCTGCCCCGGCGCACTGCTGGCACAGCGATCCCTGCCGTCTGCACAGGCGCACTGCAGGCACAGCGATCCCTGCCGTCTGCCTCGGAGCACTGCAGGCACAGCGATCCCTGCCGTCTGCACAGGCGCACTGCAGGCACAGCGCTGCGGCGTTGTTCGGTTCTGTTGAATGAAACTCGGCTGAATTCGGCTTGGTTCGGCTCTTGGTCTAAAGTCGTTTCAGTTCGGCTCTTCGGCCGAACTCGGCACGGTTCGGCTAAACTCGGTCATATTGGGCACATTGTCTAAATGCGGCCAGTGTCGGCTACACTCGGCTATCGGTTCCAGTCGGCTATCATGGTCTCTTGGTGTAAACTGGGCGATTTTGGGCCGCCCTGGGCTCTTCGGTTCAAGTCGGCTGTTTTCGGCCACCCTCGGCTCTTCGGGTAAACTCGGCTGTTTTCGGCCACCCTCGGCTCTTCGGCTCTTCGGAACAATTCGGCCCGGCTCGGCTCCCTCAGGGCGCGAAAGCGGCCGTCAGAGGACCCCGGCACAGCGAGGCGTTTAACCCACATGCCTGGCACAAACCCGCCAAAATACGCCCGCCCGCGGCGCCCCTGAGCCCGCAGCCCGTATCGGGTACACTTGAAATGCCACAGAAAATCCGTCGGAGCCGCCATGACGTCGGTATTTCGTGCAGGCAGTCCACTTACACCCACCCCGGTCCTCCACTTCCCCGCCCTTTTCGCCGCCATGCTGAGAAGGTCAATTAAAAGTCCGCGACACCCGCGACGCGCCACTCCCAAGGTGGCGGCCTCTCGGTGCAGGGCTGCAGTACCGCGCTCTGCCCACAAGGCGGCAGCACTGCCGCACGCCCCAGCCGGGGGCGCAGCGCGCCTCGGGGCTGCGGGCAGGGAAGGCGGCGAAAAAGAACAGGGGCGGCCCCCGCCGAAAACTGCTCTGAAATAAATGCCCCAAAACAACGGGGAAAAGGAAAAATAAACTTCTGCCTCTAATCTAATAGGATAAAAAAAAACAAAACAAAACCCCAACAATTTCTTAAAAAAAAAATTAAATATTTAAAAAAAGGTTTTTTTATATTAATATTCACATTTCTATCAATAATGTATATTGATGTATACTGTCCATTTATACATTTGTTTTTATGAATAAATTTCTATTCCATATTGCATATATCCCTAAAACTTCAATTTATTTGTATATTGTTACACATATTTTTACATAGTAAGTATATATTTCTGTTAGTATTTTTACTTCTGTAACACTTACAGTACTCAAAACCCCTGCCTCTACCCCATAACATGGCAAATAAAACCCCCTTTCATTTCAACTGTATTTAAAATTTAAAAAAAATTATTTTCCGAATTTATATTAAAAATGTTTACTGATGTATGATCGATTTTGCATTTATATTTAGCGATTTAGCTATAAATTTATATTCTATGTTACATGTGTTCCTATTACTTATATTTTTTATATACTTTTATTCATATCTTTATATATTTATTATATCTTTCTGTATTAGGATTTTTACATCTGCAACACTTACATTATTTAAAATAAAACCCCTGCCTCTACCCACATTAAAGCCAAAAAGAACCCCAGTCTTCTCAACTGTATTTAAATATTTTTTAAAACTCCATTTTTCAGGTTCATATTCACATTTACATTTAAAATGTATACTAATGTATACTCTTATTTGT